CCTGCCAGCCAGGGCCTCCGGTCCACCCTGTGGGAGAACGGTGGGGGCGAGGCAGTGCAGCCCTCCTCGGAGTGGAAGTTGACGGGGCCCCCCGCCTGGGCCATCCCGCCGGAGGAGGGCACAGAGGTATCAGGTCTGGAGCCCGGCAGGGTGGGATGGGGATGGCGAGGAGGGCTCCCAGCACCCCTGAGATGACGGCCGGGTTGAGGGGCGACGCATCCTCAGGCAGCCCTGAAACAAGGGCGAGGAGAGCTGGTTAGGGGAGGGAGGACACAAGGAGTCCAGGGCCACAGGGGGGACAGGCAAGGGGTGCCCTGCCCTCACAGCAGGAGAAGGAGATGCTCCAGGTGAGACAGCCCCCTTCAAACCCTCCTGCTGCAAGAAGCAGGCAAGGGTCATTGTAGGCATCACACCAGCACAACTGCAGGGACACCAGTAGCCTATTGCTCCATCCCCAGCCACCCTGGGGTATTTGCTTTCTTCCAGGGTGCCAGGATGCTCAGGCACTTCCCCACAGATCAGCACCCCCAGAACATGGCAGGAGAGCACGCTCTGCGCTTTAAAATGGGTTTCATTCATCCTGCTCCAGGCTGAATATGTTTACTACCCACAGCCTACTAAAATCACTTCAATAAGGAGGAGAAAAAAAAGATATACTGCATCACTGAGATATCCTCCAATTACACTTGCTCAAGGAGTTTAACATGAGCAGCGTGGGCAAGAAGCCTGTCTTTGCAGGTCAGCCTGGGTTTAAAGTGTGTCATGCCAGCACATGCCGCAGCCGCTATCGGTGGCACAGACCGAGAGCTGTCAACACCTGCAGATTCAAAAAGCAGTGGTTACAAGATGATGACGAGGATCCTGCCCTGGGGGAACAGAGCAGGCACAGCCTGCACACAGCTCCCTGCCTGCCTGCCTCTGCCCAGAGGTGCGGCCAGCCACCCCGCAGCAGCAGGGTGGTTGGCTGCAGGGCAAGGCAGGACCCGGAGCCCCCACCGGTGCCGCTGGCAGGGCTGCTGACAGTTTTCTCTTTCCCAGTGGAGCTAAAATTTGTACTTATCCTTCTCCAAGTTTTTATGAATTCCTGGTGTGCAAAGAAGACTCTGCCTTGGCTGCTTTTGCCTTCTGACAAAGGCTGGGATACCAAGTCCCTCACGTAGATCTCATCATTAGGAAGTGAGAAATCAAATGCCAGTTGCAAACGAAGGAAAGCATGATTTCTTCTCCCTCTTTCCAAGTACAAACTAGATAGGATTAAATTCCTGAAGGATGTGGGGCTGGATTTTCAGTGGTGTTTAGGTTCCAGAGATGCAGAGACATAACTCTTAATAAAATAGCCTAAATCACCCCCGTGGGGCAGGCGCCCATCTATCTGCACTATCACACCACTAAAAAAATCTGGCTCCTGCTGAGCAGCAGCAATCTGTAATCCACTCACCGCAAAAAACCACTCCCCTGTTCAACATGTCAGCTGGTGGGTTTACAATCTTTTTCCCCGTTACAGTTGTGCTCACATTCAAGGTTGCTGAAGTTAACTGATAAATAATAAAGATGTGGGGTTTATGTATTTCAAATGAAATTCCACTTTTTATCTCAACACAGACTGACAGACATGCCAAGGAAAAAAGTTATCGCTAGAAATAGTTGGCTTTTGCTGTAACATAACAAATCTATAAAAAAATCCCAATACATGTGAGTTATTGCTAAAATAAATGGGATAAGCACAGCGCGTCCTCCTGGTTATCAAAGGAGAGTTATCAAATTCAGAGTAAAGGCCATGCCCGCCTGCGAGCCACGGAAGCCGGACGGCTACACCATCCAGCAGAGTGAGCTTTTCTTTAATAATGAAAGGTACAAAGAAGAAATACAACAGAGAAGAAAAATCAATGATGGAGCTAAGGCTTCCTGCTTGCTGATTTAAATCGTGAAGCAAATTGATGCTCTTTAAATCACTGTGATGAATGGGTTGGGCTGTAAGGTACTGGTGGGCTGGAGGGAGCTTTGCTGGCCCTCCTGCCTGGAGGCAGAAGTCCCGTAAAGAAAAGCTCACAGGGAGGCTGCCCCGGCAGCCCAGGGCATGCGTTCAAAGAGAAAAACTCAGGAGCTGCAGTGTGGCAGCCAGAAGCTGAACACCAGCAGGGGATTTCATTTGTTCAATAAAACATCTCACACATACAAGAAACTTGCTCATCCTGGCTGTCCCTTCTCAGTGGCCAAAGGGATGTCCGGGGATTTTTCCCGGCCCTTGCTTCGAGCTGTACCCGGTGCAACAGGGGATGGTTGCTTGCCTGGCCGAGGCAGTGGGCACTGCTGACGCTGCCGGGGGAGAGCGCTCCCACACCGCGGGTGCGTGGGGACAACGCGCAGGAGATCGCGAGGGGAACGGGTGCAGAACGGGACGGGGACAGGAGGGAAGCAGGAGGTGCGGGGCTGGGTTAGCACCCTGCGCTGTGCCCGGGCGCGGTACCGCTCTCGGCGGGGGGGAGGGGGGGCAAGGGAATGGGGGGAACCCAGGGTGCAAGTGCCGGGCCAGGGGACGGAGCTGGAGCAGGCTGGACCCCGGGGAGGCGGCCCGGCACTCT